AGTTGCTTTGGATAAAAGCGTCTGCTAAATTACTAAATGTAAATGTATATATACAGTATATATATATATATATAGTTTAGTTTTAATATTTTTTTTTTTCCTGAAAAAAATAAATAAAATCTTATCTCACACAATTCAATTAGTTTTATGGATGCATTGATTTTTTTCACAATGAGAAATAAGACAAAAATACTTAAGATTACATTATATTTTTTGAAGATGGAATAAACTGTAAAGTTAAAAATATCAACAATTGCAAAGGTTAACCTGTCTGTACACACATCTGTATCTCTGACCAACTGGCTGGTGTTCTCTTCTCTCCGAGTGTCTGAACAGGTGTTTGGAGATGTACTGAAGGTGTCAACTGATCCCCGACTATGTCTGTCTTTGGAGAATTTAACCTACATGTAGGTCAATATACAAATAAAAAACGAGTTAGAGAGAGAGATTAGAGATGTTTACAGGTATATTAAATTATATTCACGCTGTCAGTGCCTTACTCTATGAATCTCAACATCAAAGACCAGAGTGCTGTTTGCTGGCACATTCTTAAGGATGCCCTTTGACCCATAACCCATACTAGGAGGGACGATAAGGAGCCGTCGACCTCCTTTCTGCATACCAAGCATCCCATCCCTGTAAGAAAAGGCAACATAAGACCTTGATGGCACAACAGCTGACAGAACCAACATTTTTTTTTTGCTATACTTTTCTTTAATATTCATTTTAATGCATCATTGTGGTCACGGTCATATGATCAAGAGCTGCTCACCGTCAGAGCGTTGTCTGCTCCAAGCTTTACTCGCTGCAGCTTTTCTTTGCCCAGATTGGAATCAAATACCTTAAAAAACAGACAGAGACACTGAACTTTCACATTTATAGATCTCCAACTGCACAGCAAACATGCCAGAAGACTCATTTAAACTGCCAGTGACTTGCATTGAGCTGTGACTAATCAACAGGAATGTGCACAGTGAGCTTCTGTGTGCTACATGTGCTCAACTACAATTTAAGAAGTAAAAAAAAAACACAATCTGTACATTTAGGAAAAGTATTGAAGTATTGTAAATGATTCCAGAAACTTCTCTAGAATTAAAAGATGCTATAAATATTTTAACATTTATTTAATCTTTATATTTTGATACAATGTAATTTGTCTGTTCAATACCAAAATACCAAATAACAATCACAAAGTTGAAAATAATCACCTGTCCTAGAGAATGTTTGTGTAAAAGCCATCCAGAATAGGCCACCTCCACTGTGTCCCCAACATCAACAGCTTGACCTTCTCCTAGGACCAGGTCCTGAGTGACCAGAGAGTCTGATGAAGCCTCACTGTTCCACTGGGCCACGCACACCTCAGAGAAACAGGCTCAGAGGTCATTTCACCAAATACACAGTCAATCTGTAAAATTTACAAATGTTTGCATTATAACAATTTTGCAGAACCCTGGCGCTTTGGAGTAAACAAGAGGCACACTTTGAGAAACAGAATAATTTATTCCAAAACCAGAATTTTCTTAGAATGCATCCATCTTTCTTAAACAAACAATTCAGTTTAAGTATTACCTCCTTACAGAACTCAGGCCAGGACTTTTCTGAGTAAAACATTAAAGACATCATAGAAAGTGACATAGTTACAGGGCTGAACCTGTGGACAGGTGTAAAGAGCTGATGAGTGCAGCATCTAACAAAACAAAACACAATAGAATAGAATAGAATAGAATGAACACTCACTGAGGACAAATCCACGATGGATTCTAGCTTTAGTGATCTGCTTTTGCTTACTGCCATACAACAGAATCTTGTACTGTAATTGCAGATAGAAAAGAATGACAAATACATAAAAAAGGATGACATAAAATATGTGCATAAGCTTCTGTTAATTAGCTTCTCTCACCTCTTTGGTGACATGGTTTCCTAAAACAGCAGCTATCTTGCCTTGCTTCACATATTGTCCATTCACACTGGTGATCAAAGCTCATTTAAGAAATGTGTGAACTAATGCTAATTCAAAGTCTCGTAAATATCTTTGAATTGCCATATTTATACTAACAAGCTGAATGCATGAACAGCTGTAGCAAACAGCACAGCTGGAGCACATGGAGGAGGGACAGGCTCCTGAGGAGGCAGGCCTTAAGAAAAACACTGATTGAAACATGAGCAATTATGTGCCTTAGGGTTCAAAATGATCAAAACATGAAATACCTAATACCTAATACCTCCAGCTGTGCACCTAATATGGCGCAGGACTTCTTTATATTTATAACAAGTCCATAGTTGAGTGCAGTGGTTTTTACACAATATACACACAAATTACACACACACACACACACATATATATATATATATATATATATAAAACATTAGACAGACCCAAAGAAGACAACAGTAAATGGCAAAAACATTGTTATGCACAAGAACAAATTAAGATGAATATCACCTCAGCCAAATCTAAACAGAATTTAAAAGACTTCATATTTATTAAAAGCATGTTAATGTGCAAATTTACAACATTGAACAAAGAACAAATGAAACCAATGCTTTGCAAATGTCACTTTTTACATTATGGCATTAAAAAAAAAATTTTTTTGTATGATTACAATGAAGAGTCACATGAGATTTTTTTTTAAATCACAGGTTCACAGCACATACCGGGTACATTTTCTGTACTGAGAAGAACTCATTACAAAGAAAACACAAATCAGAAATACCTGTTGACAAACCTAACTGATTTTTTGTTTTGTCTGTTTGAACAAACTGAATGCCAAAACACATAATTATACAAAAAGTTAAGAATGATCATTTAGTGTTAAGGCTCATTAAAGACAGCGGTCGAATAGAGTCCAGACTGGTCTGGTCAAATACTAAATAAAAATCTCTTCTTAAAATTCCTGTCCTTTTGAGTGCTGTTGTAAACTCAAATGTCTTAACTGAACTGGTCAAAGATCAAGTCTAACTGACAATCATATTTAAAGCTTGGCTTTGGGCGTCTGTTCTAGGAGGGTCTTGATGTCTAACAGAGCGTCCTCTAGTGCTTGGGCCAGACGTGCTGCGTTTGTGTCCTGGCAGCTGTTGAAAGCAGAGACTGCAAAGTTAATGTGGGTATCCATGGGATTGTAGCACACACCATAACCGTCTGGAACCACTGGGCCGAAGCACATCACACAGTTGGTTTTAGCTGGCACCTGGGAGAGTAGAGTGGAAAAATTACAAGTACAATTCAATCTTATGTAAAATCATGAATTTTACATGATCTGATGATTTTAGTTTTACAGCAATATAATTTTAGCAGATTTGAAGAGCCATTGTTGGCTTATCATTACCAACAATGAGTACAGTTAATGGTACAGTACATGCATTGCTCTTCCTGTTAAACACAATGCAAAGGGTTTGTTTTGAAAATAAGTGTTTATTAACATGCTGTGACGAGTGGGAGCGGGGCCGAGAGCCGTGGGAACGGAGCGAGGCCGGTGGAGTAATTGATAATGAGCGACACCTGCACCACTCACCGATCTCGAGTCCCACGGAGGAGCTCCGGAAGGATAAAAGGAGGAGCTACGACAGTGAAAGACGAGAGAGGACCAGGCCTGGACTTTATTTTGTGTTTTGTGTGCGGCAGTCGTCCGCGAGGGGCTGCCGCTTTACTTTCATTTTGTGTTTGTTTATTTTATTAAAGTTTTCTTTAAATGTTCGCCGGTTCCCGCCTCCTTCTTCCTGTGACTACGAACTGTGTTACACATGCACTTCAGTTTCACTTGTGACCTCTGACCCTAGTCCAGAGAGCTCTGTTTGACAGTACCTGGCTGGTGGAGAGGTTGAAGTGCAGTACCACAGCATATGAGGTATCCATGAATATCTCTGGCAGGGCTGCCAGGTCCTCAATAGCCTGCAATTTCAGTCCGAGCAAATGTCTGTCGATGGCTTGACCTCGGATGGCCTACGCATCCACACATAGAATAAAGAATGTGGAATTTATTTGGTGCAGATCAATAATGACTTACAGCAGAAACACAATGGTGATCAACTGAACATCACTAGCATGCATTTACTCACCATGTCTGTGTAAGCTCTGTGTGCTTTAACTGCTTTGTCTAGCAGAGCCACTTTCTCGGTGTTCTGTCGATCAAAATGAGATTTTCTTTCATGCTGGATCAAATTTACAAATGCATTTGGAAAATAATAGGATGATTTTGAGATTGATAATCAAAAAGACGAGCTACAAAGCAAAACATTTATATAGTATTTACAGTGATTATGTAAACTACTGTTCAAACGTTTGGGGTTGAGAGAAGTCTCTTATGCTCACCATTTTATAAAAAATACAGTAAAAACAGTAATACTGTGAAATATTATCACTATTTAAATGAACTGTTTTCTATTTCAATATATTTTCATTTTAAATGTATTCCTGTAATGGCAAAGCTGAATTTTCAGCATCATTACTCCAGTCTTCAGCATAACGTGATCCTTCAGAAATCATTCTAATATGCTCATTTGGTGCTCAAGACACGTCTTATTATCAATGTTGGAAACAGTTTTGCTGCTTAATATTTTTGTGGAAACCTGATGCAGTTTTTCAGTATTCTTTGATGAATAAAAAGTTCAAAAGAAAACATTTTAAATAGATTTTTTAAAACAATGTCTTTACTGTCACTTTTGATCAAATTAATGCTGACTAAATAAAGATATTAATTTCTAGAGGTGACCGTACATGTTTGGCTGGGTCATCCATGGCCTTGACGAATTTATCAGAGTCAATGGACGTTGAGCGTATAGTGTCGGTTCGGCCCAGTCTGAACATGCGGAGGGAAGCGCTCTCATAGGTGGGACAACAGCGCTTGTAAATCCTGAAACAATGAGTCTGTGAATCAACTGAAAGCTAAACTGATCATTAACTTCCTAATACCAACAGAAGGATGCTACAGTTAAGAAATAAATAGAGCAAATACCATTAATGGCAGTGCTGGTGAAGTTTACCTGTAGTACGCCAACTGGAGAGCCATCTGAATAAAGGCATCAGGGCTCATCTTCTGTGACTTTGGGAAATCTTTGCCAAAATGGGAAAACACACTGACTTTCATGTCCAAGTCATGTGCCATGCTGCAGAGAAGGAGAAGAGAAACCCTCAAACTTTCAACATTTAACATACTGCCATGTTGTTTGTCCAACAAAACAGTCAATCGAAATGTTGGTAATGCAAAGAGTGAGTGGAATATCTCAATATCTTACATGTTCATGTTTTGTTTGGCCTCCTCAATGTCCTTTTTGATATCTGGCGTGATGTGGAAACGAAGCTTCTGAGGCATACGCAGCGGGACCATTGGGGTACGGACCATCTCTGACTTCTTCCTGTATAAATATGAGGTAACTCTTAGCTGCGTTAGCCATGCTTACAATCTAGCCATGGGCAAACAGCTTCTCCACTGTTAATCTTACATGTATTCCACCACATGGTCGATCAGAGACACGATAGGAGGGCCCTCAGCGGGGGCGTGTTCATAGATCAGCCCGCATGTCCCGTCCTCTCCAATAATAAACTAGAAACAGTATTAATCATAACTAGAGATGCACCAATTGCAATTTTCTTGGCCGATTCCAATTTCCAATTTTTCGGAAGTGTGGCCTGCCGATTACGATTTTCTTTCTAAGAACTATAATTGATAGCACATATACAAACAAAAATCTATGCAAATTTCAATGCAAAAATTATTTACATAATAAAATAAATTATTAAACATTACAATTCCCCCAATCTGGACTAAGTTACAGATTTTCTCTCACTTAAACAACTCTCAAAATAAAGTGCTCTGTGACTGGAAAGAGGAAGAATTGGTTAACTTAAAATAAGTTGCTGTATGTAACAAAACAGATGTCATTTCCCACTATGTTTATAAATGGTCATTTTTTTCCCCTAACCTTATTAAATGTGTCATCTTTCACATCAAATTCTTACTTTGTTTCAATTAATTCAGTTAGAATAATAAGAAACTGTAGAGTTGTTACCATTCAAATGAAATTAGTATTAACAAACTCTATCTTTCCACTGCTGAGGAAACAGAAGCTGCATCTGAAGTGGCATTAGATGCATTTACACAGACAGTTTGATGAAGCTGAGGTGCCATAAATGCATTTACACTGCAAAATTTCAAATGCATAAATAATTTTATAAAATTAAAGTTATACATATTTTTTTAAACAAACAAATAAATGTTGAAAAAATGCAATGATACTTTTAAATATGACTAAACCACCAGTAGGTGGTGGCAAATGTCTGTTTTAATGAGTGAGTCATTTATTCATTAATTCAACCGATTCATTCAAACGGCTGATTCATTCAGAAACGAGGCAAGTCCTTATGAATGGGCCACTGAATCATTGACTCACTCGATTCGTTCAAAAACGTGGATTAATTCAGTAACGAAACACTGCTGTGTGTTGCTCGGAGACACAAAACAGTTCTGCTGTGGCTTTGATCGGAACTATTCTCGTCAGCGAAATTGAACAAAAAGCAATTTTCAATCAATTTTGTCACTTAATTTTAACTTCTTGTTTATTGAAATACTATGGTATAAAATCAGTGTCACATTGCAGTCGTGTTGATATTGATATTTGGGGAAACATCATGGCCGTATAATGCTGCTTACCTAAATCATATTTTGTAAATATATATTTTTTTCTACCGCAGTATGCATCTATAAATGGCTATGACGTCATTGCCGGCGCCGCTGGCAATAAAAGGATCGGCTCAGAATCGGCAAGACGTGAGACTGACTGGCCGGTCACCGATCCGGGCCAGTCATGCGAAAAATCATCCGATTCCGATCACTGGCCGATCAATCGGTGCATCTCTAATCACAACGATATCAGGATCTTGTACTTGATACATTTCTAACATTTTATGTGTCAACATC